CTTTCCTCATGGTATTGACATGGGGTTGCCCTCTGGGGTGCCACCGGGAGAGCCGGTTAAGAAAAAGAGAGGGAGGCCCCGGAGATATGCTCCTGATGGCCAGGTTTCCCTGGGGCTTTTGCCTTTGCCTTCTAAGCCTAAGTCTTCATCAGGAGCAGATGGTTCTGGCCACAAAAGAAAGAAAGGACGTCCTACTGGGACTGGAAGGAAGCAGCAATTAGCAGCTCTAGGTTAGTGTTTTGTTGCATTTTGGTGTTTGAATTGGAAATTAGCTAACATATGGCTAGAGTTTAGTTCTCAGCAGAAATAGATATGCTTTTATAAACTAGCTGTGTTGTGAATATATGCTACTTGCTTTCAGTATTTAACTGTTCTGTTGTTTATGATAGGCGAATGGATGAACAGTTCAGCCGGGCAGGCCTTTGCTCCTCATGTCTTTACTGTTGGAATTGGAGAAGTAAGCCACATCTTTTCAGTTCATCCAACATACAATAAAAATTGAATTGATCTTGGACACATATCTTTTGCAGTTAAATACGCTAATCCGACAAAACGCACAGTAGATATTCACACGCCCACACACACTTAAGCTTATGAATTGGTATAGAAGGGACATGGGTTGCATTATCCGTTCCGAATTAGCATTACTGTGTTTTGTTACATGATATAGTTGCAAATAGAATCAGCAATTTCCTAATCATGTAGAACTTTATTTTGATATGGAATGTGCAAATTTTATGTTCTTTTACAGGATGTTGTAGAGAAAATGGTGTTCTTTTCACAACAAAGGCCAAGAGCTGTCTGCATTTTATCAGGCAGCGGTACAGTTTCCTCTGTAACTCTACGTCAACCTGCATCTTCAACTCCTACGATGACATATGAGGTTGTGGCACTTTACACTGGTTTTTCTACTTATGCATAAATGCCTTTTTCTACTTTTGCAAAATCATAGTATGGTAGCCTGATTATGTATCAGTTTGTTTGTGTTTTTCCCCGAGTCGATACAGGCTTTCTGCCAATGAAACTGCCATGTTATGTTTAGTTTGGTGGGAACTTATTTGATCTGTTTTAACTTTTGTTAGGGCCATTTCAAGATATTATGTTTGTCTGGGTTGTACTTGCTTCCCGAGGATGGCGGACCTCGCAGTCGAACAGGAGGCATAAGTGCTTCTCTTTCTACCCCTGATGGTCATGTCATAGGTGGTGGGGTTGCAACATTGATTGCATCAAGCCCTGTTCAGGTATCCATATTTCTCCAAATTCCACTATCTAGAGGGCTATGGCATGACTCTATGCGTATGATTCTGAGGTATTATATACACTTGCTGTAGCTGGTGGTGTGCAGTTTTGTTTATGGGGGATCTAAAACTAAGAACAAACAACTGGCTAGTCCGAAAGGAAAGGATTCCATGCCTCAATTCTGCAACGAAACAACTATGCCAACAAGTGCACCTTCGACTCAACATTTCACTCCCCCTCCTACAAGTGCTTGGCCTGGTTCACGGCCTGTCGGTCTGAGAAACCCTCCCGGAGATATTGACCTGATGCGAGGATGATCACTACATTCATGTTGTACATCTACAGAATCTGAGATGAAAAGTTTAAAAATCTTCCCAATTTGCCCTATAGGAGAAATAGGTTTCTGCTAACTTAGATTGTAACGAAGTCAGTTGTTTCTCCATCTTTGGGTGGAGATAGGGCTAAGGGGTTCATTGTTTGTTCAACTGTGAAATCCAACCATTATTATCTGCCTTACGCAGCATTTCAAGTTTAGATGAACAAAATATGGAAAACAAGTGAACCGTCAGCACACAGCAATGAAGCCGTGTCCTGGCTGAAAGACATGATAAAGAAAACAAGAAATCCAAATGATACTATGGGCCTTTGTTAATCTTTTTAAGTGAATGAAAGCAGTGCAGGAAATAAGAATGGAAACTCGAATTGTAACTATTTGTATTACAACAAGATGATTAATCAACAAAAACAAAGTTGCATATAATGCAAGAACAAACTCGAGAAGATCCCAATATATAACACTAATATACATGCTGAATTTGGTCTTGTTAGACATGGTTCTAACATGGAATTCTGCAATACAAATTTTACAAACCTGGAATAAACGCTCACTACGAGAATAAGTACTTTATGCTTACACTTCGATCGGTTGGTCGTCTACCCTTCATCTCTCAGCAATAATCAGGCAGCTTGTCATCTTCCCTCTTTTTCACTTATCATTGCAGTAGCTTCTTTATATCATACTGCAGTACCAAAATTCACTTTATGTAACAATACCTCGATATAAAATGCCAAAATTGGACTCTTATGCACGAGAATTTGTTTTGGGGGGGGGGAGCAAAGTGAAGGTTTCACCTCAAGACTTAGTGGGGAAGTGGTCGGGTAATAACGATGAACAACTTGGCCCTCCTTACCGACCAAGAACTTGGCAAAGTTCCATTGGATGTTGTCTCCAAAAATTCCCCATTTCCCTAACTTTAAGTACTTGTACAGTGGAGAAGCATTATCGCCATTTACTTCAATCTAATACCAAAACAGCAAGTAAGTGCCTCAAGAATTTTGCACATTATGCATATGGTTCATAAGCAGGGTTCTTCATGCAAGCATGTTATCATAGACCATAAACTATGCCAATCGAGGTATAGATCATCCGGTAAAAAAAACCTATATAGTAACCAATGATTGTGTAAAAAATAACCAAGTTTTACTAACTTCAACAGTAAAGCAAGCACAACATTGATCTGGCTACCTTGTCAAAGATGGGAAATTCCGATCTAAAGCGGGTGCAAACAAATTCCGAAATCTCATCATTTGATCCTGGTTCCTCCTCTCCAAATTGATTGCATGGAAAAGCCAGAATCTCCAAGCCTTTTACAAAACAAATGCAGATTTGAGTCTGTGTTAACATCGCAATATCATATATCTTTCGAAGCGGGATTTGTAATTTATTCCTAATGATGGCAATACGGAAAGTACGGGGGGAAACTCCCAAGGCTCAAAATGCAAACCTTGTCCTTTATATTTCTCATATAATTGATTCAGTTCTGTGTAGTTCGAGTTTGTCATTCCGCTGCCACATAATAACCGAAGAGAGGATCATAAAAAAGAAACCTACTTGGTCCAAGAACGAAAGAACAAGGATTTTGGCTCAAAGGACTGAAAATTTTTAGGTTATAAACCATCATCAATTGGCTCTGCTGCAAATATAACATAATCCAGTATTGATCAGAGAGATAGAAAGAACATACCATTTGGAAGCAACATTAACAATCAATAGCACTTTTCCTTTGTAAATACTGAGATCCACATCATTTCCGTTGGCATCCTGTCAAATTGAGGCAAAAGGATACCAATTACAACCATTTGATTGGTCTGCAATTCAAAGCAGAATACTACCATTTGATTTCACTACCTTATTTTCCATCTTATGCTAAATAGAATCTCAACAAATTAAAAAATCATTAAGAATCCTTCTTGGAAGAATTAAGAAACTGAGAAAGTTCCTGTCTGTGGCATTACTTTTCATACAAAAAAAAAAGCATGATTTCTCGACTGATATCTCAGGCAAGCATCTTCTATCCAGTTAATTTAGCTGCCAATATACATAGTTCGTGTTTACCCCTTTCTACCGCCGTTCAACAATAAATGAACAACCTCAACGAAAAGGTAACCCAAAGTTTATTGAAAAGGAATCGAGAAACTATCAGAATTTGCCCAATCGCTATCTATAATACGAAACGATCAGTTTAAACAACTAAAAATCATAGCTAGCTTCTAATTTGCCTTGGTTTCTTTCTTTGGCTTATCTTTCCTGGAACTGAAAAAGTAAAGAACCACACAGAAGGGTAATTGAAGAGTATGAACAGTGTACATAAAGGGATTAAAGGAAGAAACAAGAGACCAACCTTGACAGTAAAATCATAGATGGATTCTGGGTTTTCTCTTGTTTGAGTCGCCATTGAGTAATGCTTGTTTTGATCCAGAGGAAAAGTTGGAAAGAGAGGCGAGAAAAAAAAAGGAAACAAGTCTAGATTCCCACTCGTCACCATGAAGCATGCTGTTTAGTTAGCTAAATTAATAATTTACAAATCCTAACTTTTTTGTTCTTTAATTTCTCTTTCATTTTAATTCTTATTTCACCTTCATTATTATAAATTTATACCCAACAGAAATGATTATAATAATAATTTACTGCTACTTTATAATAAAATATAATTATTATTTTGATTCAATAGGTTAATTTGGTTTAACATATCAAAAAATAAATTAATGAAAATTTCTAATATATTTTTATTAGATTATTTTAAATTAAAATTAAATTAATAATATATATTTTGTAGAAACATAAATTATTACTGTAGCAGTTACGCATGTTTCAAAATTTAACATAAAATAATATATTTGTTATAATATTTTAATTAAAGAATTAAATTGTTATTATTTTTTAAAAAATGATTGATACACTTTTAGCCCTAAATTCTACTTTAAATTGATTTTTGATGTCTAATTTTTTTTGTTAAAAATAAATGTTTAATATTTTCTCCGTTATATTTTTAGGTACCTACCGTTAAAAGAAACCGTTAAGTGATTAGTGTCACGTCAATTTTTTTTAAAATTAAAAAATATTTTATTTTAAAAAATCAAAAAGAAATATAAACATGACACGTGTCACATAACGATTTCTTCTAACGAATGACACCTAAAAGTGTAACGGAAAAAATATCAGACACCTATTTTTAACAAAAAATTCTCTAGGCACCAAAAGTCAAATTGAGATATAATTTAGGCACCTAAAAGTGTATTAATCCAAAAAAAAAAATACATGATTGTAAAGGGACATGGATGTATTTACCCTGAAAACAGATCAAACAAAACCCAGTTTTAGAATTCATTCGGTTCAATTCAATGCGTCTTTGAATCTTTTCAGTCTGGCATTTGTTCTGCACAATGGTTATCAAGTACTGTATTCATTGTTGACCATAGATAAAAAAAAGTCAGTACTCATACAAGCTAATAGTTGCTTAACATCCATTATTGCAGCGTCTGTAAAGAGTAGGGGAAAGATTAAACAGCAGAAGATCCGGTGATCAATACTTTGTAATACAGTACACGGTTTTCACTCACATTCTTGAAGGCAATGCCTTTTTCATGTCGGATCCACCTTCGTTTTTCGCTGCCTTTAACCGCTGGTTTTGTAGTTTTTCCTTGGCTTTCATGAGGACTTTATGCACTTCATCGAAGTGAGGACTCGTAGCATTTCTTGTGTTCTCGATCCACTGCTGGACTTTCTTGTGCGGACCCAAAATCCTCGCACGGTCCTTCTCGTCCAAAACCTGCATCCAAGACACTTTTATCAGATTTCAATGTCTTTCCAAATAAATTTCATTTTCTCAGTACATGCATAGATCTGCAAGCCACGATGGAACAAATATTCTGATATTAGCAATCGAAGGTAAGCTGTGTATGTTTGGGGAAGCCGAAGCAATGCAAGTAATACAGTACAGGTTGGTTTTGAGCAGGAAGTTAAGTCCCGGAATCTGGTTTTGAGCTCCGTCAAAAGAACAAGAAGACGTACGATAACCTATTCAACTGAAATGAAGAGACAAGTCTGTGTAACAAAAGTTGACCTCTTAGCCATTTCTATATAGTAATTAAGTACGACCGATCATCAATATAACTGTCAAATTTTGCAGATTTGTGTATATTTTTTCATGTAATAAAACCTAATCTTGATGGTTGCAAGAAAAGAACGACGACTCGGGAGAACTGGCTTGGATAAACTATGCCAGATTTGACCTTTCTCTTTCCTTGTATAAGTGGTTTTGCTTTGGCATGTCAGCGAGAGAAGATGAAGATAGAACAAGAAACTGATGATAACTAAAGATTACAGAAAAGACTATTTATGAGCTTATAAAGGAAATGATCCTAAAAAATACATGCCAAAAAGGAACATATTTTATGATGCTTATAAAGGATATGGTCCTAAAATGTGCATGTAAGATCCAAGAAATAATTGCATGTACTCGAGAAAGGCTCAGTTGCTCCTATAGTTGAGCTGATTACGATGATGAACGGTGTGCAGGACCGTAAGGAAAGAGGTAATCTATAGGAGGCAAACCTGAACCTGTATCTTAGAATATTATATTTCACCAGAGCATGCAGCAACAAAGAATATAAATGTGGACAAAAACATCAAGTCACAAAAATGTACCTCGAGTTGCATTATTTCGCAAACAAGGCTAAGATCAGCTATGGATGGCTGGTTTCCACCTAGCAGAAAACGTCCATTTTCCTTGAGCCAAAAGGACTCTAACTTTGAAAGAGATGAAGACAGAATCGGTTCAGCTTCAGCAGCTGCTTGGGGATTCAATGGACGGCCGAGTACAGGTGCTATTGTAGTATTGAAAACATATGGGGCTGAAAAGAGAATCAAGTTCAAAAGTCATATCTAACCCAAGGAAGGGGGCATTTATATGCATAACCTGATAGCCAAGAATATGTGACAAGGGGTGACAAAACCACTAAGATAAAGCGAGTTTGAGTCTACATACACAATCGAGCACAATCATTAAGTGATGTGAGAGGTGCCAAAACAAAGAATGAAAGAAAATTTAGCATCTCTTATAGTCCAATAATGTAATAGGAAAATAAGTGCACAAATTTGATGCTTCAAAAGCCTACCCAGAGAACATGTTACTGTAATAGCATCAACCCACAAGGGCCAACAACACATCATAAAATAAGACTGTTAAGAATATTATCCTACATCATCAATAACTATTCACCAATCATTTAAACAGTTTGATTCTTTTCAGGGTTAATTATACACCTGCACCACGGCGTAAGTTGGAGTGATGCCAGTCCAACACCGAATGTATCCTACTTCTCGTTGAAACATCAGCTGGATACCTTAAAACAGGACAAGAAAATTTGTTAACAACTTGGGTTGCAGATTCAAACCAAATATGAAATCTACAGAAATATATTGATAACACTTTGATTTGAACATCTCAAGTCCAGGTAAAACTGTAAAATAGAGTGCATAGATACCAGCAAGTAAGTTGGTAATGTCACAAGACCCATATAACAAAACCATGAACATACCTCCTAAGCTATTCAACTATCCATATGAAAAAAGTGATGTATAATAGCATAAAGAACTCGGCAAGGAACTCCAACAAATAAGCACGGAAGAAATTGAATATCAACAGGCACTATCACTATCCATACCCTGTATATTGTCCAAAACATTATGTAGTATTGAATGTAAGCCGAAAGAGAAAGCAACTGTACTTACCAATGGTCTGCAACTCCGGGGAATGCGCAAGCAAGGTAGATCAGAATGGCATGGCTGCAAAATATATATAAAGTAAATTTGTAGGAAACCTTTGAAATTAAGGGGGAAAAGCAGGGGGTCAGTGAAGTACTCTTCAGATACCTCTCAAACAACTTAAATCTTCCATCAGTGATGGCTGGTAGTCGTTTCATGGGATTTATTTCTGCAACAAAACCAGAGGAATAAAAATTGAACATGTTATTATATCTACTTTCCTATAAGAGCGTAATTTATAAAATATTTTCATAACACTAATTTAATTGATCATAATTCGAATCGTATATTAATAACAAATGAAAGAATACCTTCGAATTCAGAAGTTAAATGCTGACCCTTTGAGATATGAACTTTGATCTCCTCATAGTCTATACCGTTCATCCTTTTTTAATAATAATAAAAAAAGAACATTTAAAAGAGATAAAACCCAGATAATAGTTGAAATCAAGTGAAAGAACTGAAATTTACTTGCAGAAGATGATAACAGCGCGAGATGGCTGAGACATTCGATCTGCGTAGACTTTGAGCGTCATTTTCCCCCCCTTTCGGTATTGCTCTCTGTTTTGGGTTTCTGCCTATGTTTACGCTTCTGTTTCTCCTTTCACCACATCGGGGATTGACTATGGATAACAAGTTTGCATTTTGATTTGATATCACAACTCACTCTATTATTGGTAACATCATAATCAGGTTACCATGTATATATATAATGCAATTGAGTCCCTTAATTAATTGACTGTGACAATCATGTCAATAGAACTTTAAATCTAAAATGGATATTAATATTCTTCGTAAAAAAAAGTACTACTAATTTTTTGTTACACATGGTGGTGGTCAAAGTTATTTGTATTATTCGAAAATTGATGTTTCAATCGATGATATGAATGATATAGTTGTCATTAGTGAGAGAAAGAACAAATAAAAAACGGAGATTATCTAAGGGTAGATCAAAAGATTGAATTCAAGAAGCTTAAAAGATTGAATTCAAGAAGCTTAAAAGATCTGATATGATTTCATGACTTTTGAAAGATATTTTTTATAATATAATTTTATAAATTGAATGATAAATCAAGATGAAACTTACTATGAAACTTCGGTGGTGTTTGTTTTTGCATAGGTAAAAGATCTGCAGTCTGCGGACCACATCTGCAGTCATCTGCAGCAGAAGAGGTGGACCAAAAGTCTGCAGTCTTCAAGAAGAAGACTGTTTGTTTTTTAATGTTTGCAGACTGCTAAAATGAACTGAAATATAAATAAACTGATTTTTTAAACTTAAAAGAGTTTTGCAATACTGAGATTTAAAAATTTTTAGTTTTATAATACTGAAATTTAAATAATCCATACATCTACAATAATAAATTATTTAAAATAAATCAATCCATATTTTAAAATAAATCAATCCATACTAATAAATTATTTAAAATAAATCAATCCATACAACTACAATAATAAATCAATCCATATTTTAAAATAAATCAATCCATACTAATAAATTATTTAAAATAAATCAATCCATACTAATAAATTATTTAAAATAAATCAATTCATACAACTACAAAAATAAATCAATCCATATTTTAAAATAAATCAATCCATACTAATAAATTATTTAAAATAAATCAATCTATAAAACTACAATAATAAATCAATCAATATTTTAAAATAAATCAATTCATACTAATAAATTATTTAAAATAAAGCAATTCATACTAATAAATTATTTAAAATAAATCAATCCATATTTTAAAATAAATCAATCCATACTAATAAATTATTTAAAATAAATTATTTTAAAATAAATCAATCCATGTTTTATAATAAATTATTTTAAAATAAATTATTTTAAACTAAATAACCTTATTAAATTATTTAAAATTATTTTAATAAATAACTATATTTTATAATTGTTCTTGAAGAGATTTGAAGACCTTTGAAGACATAAAATCATGTCTGCACCAAGAAGAGCTCGTGCAGACGTTTGAAGAGCTTATGTCTTCTAAAAAACAAAGAGTCTGCGAAGCCTAATGTCTGCGTGACGTAGACATAAGTGGTTTGAAGAGCTTGTACAGTGAAAACAAACATCACCTTGAAGTTCACTAGTCCACCATAAAACAACGTCAAAAATAGAGCTAATAACTTGATTATAACTTTTAAAGATACGATGGTTCAATTATAAGTTATTAATAATAAAATGACCTATGATATAATTTACATATAAAAATTATGTATGTGATGTGAATTTTCCATTAATCGAATATAATACATCATGGAATCATTTGATATTTAACGATAAAATAATTGATTGTTACAATCTATTAATTTAACGATTTGATTATAATTTACTGAAATATAATGATCCAGTTGTAAATATATTAATAATATAGTGACTTGTGATGAAATTTACCCTTTACATTCCCTTCACGTGGGAAAAAGCAGAGACTTCGGGAAAGGCGTCGTCGTATTGACCCTTGATATTACATCGACACTCTCTCTAATCTCAGTGGCGTTCTCGTATCAGCTTTCAACAGCATTCCATCAAGTGAAGTCCAATAAAAAAAACTTTGAATTATTTAAATTGATGAATTTTATTTTATAATTAACAGTTGACTTGAATATTTTTTTGAGTGAGTTGAGCTTTTAAGTTTTTATTTAAATTTAATTGTAATTATTTATAATATTAAGATATTATTTGATTTTAATTTAAATAATATTTTATAATCATATTCAATATATATTTTTTTGTATTTTTTTATATGTAATGTACATCTATCATACAAAGTAGAAGTACTTAACTCAAACTTAAAAATCAATATACTAATTACTAAAAATTTTAAGTTATTTGAGTTATATTTTACAACTCGATTTGAACTTGAAAATTTTTCAAGTCGAATTGAATTCACCAACCTTGACAAAGTTATATTTTGTAAGTCGTTAATGTTTTGTTTTTGGTTTTTAATCTTTTTCTTCCTTCTTGGTGCTTTTCATTTCTAAAACCCAAGTGTTCGCATCCACAGTTCTGCATCATTTTAGTCTGGCTAGTCGGCGATGGGAGATCGGTATTTACATTTGAATTTGTTAATCGGATGTTGCTTTGATCCCGATAGTAGCTTATGAAACCGTTTGATTTGTTTCCGTTTCACCCAACCGATTAGGAATTCAATTGTTCGGATAAGAGGCTTAAGAAACTAGTGCTTTATGGTAGTGTAGATCTTCAAGTGCTGTGGAATTCATTTAGAAAATGAAGGTTGAAGATACTATTTTTTATCCATATTATTATTATTATTATTATTATTATTATATATTATTATCATTATTAATATTATTATATTATTATTTTTATTATTATTATTATTATTTTTACTTATTATTAAATATATTAAATACATATAAATACAAACCAATTACAATTAAACCGGCCCAGTTACAAACCAACTAAAACCGGTCCAAATCCAACCAGAAACCCTAAATATTTGGGTTTCCAGTTAGGGTTTCCTAACCCTAATTTGATCAGCCGCCTCAGCTCACAGCCGTTGGATCTGATAAGATCCAACGGTCCAGATGATGCCAGAAGGAAACCCTAGGGTTTGATACCCTAGGGCCACGCGGCGCCGCTCCAGCTTCCACGCGGCTGCCGACAGCCCTCGCCGCCTCCGCCGCTGCCACGTCCCAACCGAAGACTCCAGAAGATCATATACCAGCCGTCCATGCAAGGCTACGGGGTGAGTCACCACTGGTAGTCCGGTGACTCACCGAGGCCCCCTCTTCGGACAGGTCCGAGACGAACACCGGTGGTGGCTATAAAAGCCACCACCCACCTGCGAAAAAAAAAACCCAGGGACAGAAACAGAGAAAAAAAAACAGAGAAAATAACAACTACCAACGATCCCAGTCTACAACAACAGAGCAAAAACAAAAGGAAAAAGGAAGGAAAAAACTTACCGAGGGAACCGTTGGTCATCAGAACCTTTTTGGAGCCATCGGAAAGTCAAAGGTCGAAGGTATAAACTTTAGATCTACGCATTTCAGTAGTATTTTAGGCTAAAAAACCTACGGATCTAGCTTTAGGGAAAACCAGGCTTTAATTTGGGGTGGGATTTGTAATTTCCGGCCACCGGATATGGCGGCCGGCGGTGGTATTGACGGTGGCTAACGGCGGCCGGCCGGAGAGCTTCTCTCTTTTCTAGAGAGAAGCGAGAGAATTTCTTTCTCTCAGAAAAGAGAGAGAAAGGGAAGAGAGGAGAAATGAGGCTGGCCCTTCGGGCCAGCTGATTTTAGGCTTAAATAGCCCTTCCCGAACGACGCCGTTTTGGAAAGGGCTATTCGCGTAATTACGAAATAGTTAAACCCCGGCCGCAGTCCTTCGTATTTGTAAATTTTACATTTTGGTCACTAAACTGAATTTGTAATAATTTTAATTTAGTCTTCGAATTTTAATTTTATTCATTTTAGTCCCTTTTATTAAAATAATATATTTAGGATAAATGACAGATTTAATCCCTTAATTTAATAAATAAAATTTTTTCCCTAGTTCATATTTTTAATTAATTTTATTATAAAATTTGAATTTTAGATAATTTTGTTTTGGTCACTAAATTATTAAATAAAAAAATAAAATATTTAATTAATTAGGAATTAGATTTAATTTTATTTTTATTATAATTAGTTATTATTTTATATGTTTTAATTTTACTGCTTAAAATACATTGTTTTAGTAATATTTTTATTTATATGGTTAAATATTTTTATATATTCATAAATATATAATAAATAATAATTTTAAATATTTATTTTTATCAAAGAAAAGGACAGTCTTAATACAATTGGATGTCCTATTCTGATATTTTAAAAAATTAAAAAATAAACAATATTATTTAAATTAATATTTATCAATATCAAGAAAAGAGCTGTCTTAAGGCACCTAGAAGTTCTTTTCGGATATTTTTAAATAAATATAATTTTGAAAATAATAGAATTATAAATTAAATATTTTTGAATTTTTAAAATTTAAATGATATAGACAATTTATAATTAAAAAGTACCAATTTGGGCGTTGTAGGGGTGCTAATCCTTCCCTAAACGTAACCGACCACGAATCCTTGTTATTATTAAAAAGAACGAATTTTGGTTATAAACGCAGATCAGTTTAATTTTTAATTGATGTTTTTTTTAAAAACTCTTTTAAAAAATATTTTTTAGGTATTCGACTACCTGACCCAAAAGGCCGATGGCGACTCCCAAATTATTTTCAAAACCATCTATTCACATCATTTCCCGCCAAATTTAAATATATTCGTGCCCGGACGAAAACCGGTTACGACAGCTTGGCGACTCCGCTGGGGATCTGGTCAAACTTTTAAAAATCAATTATAAATTGTCTCTATTAGTCAAAATTAAAATTTATATATTTAATTTTTAATTCTTTCTTTCAAATTTTTTTATTTATTTATTATTTTATAATATTTATATGTTTTATTTACAAGTATTTTATTTCAGTATTTATTTTTATGTCAAAGGTTTGAAATTTCTCCTCACACACAACTTGCATTGCATAACATAAAGCTCTATAATTGAGTTGTCCCTTTTAAGTGGGAGTGAAAGCGACGTCTTCGTGAGA